AGTTCATCTTTAAATGAGATGACTTAATAAAATGAGATTAACCTGTAGAGGAAGGAAAGGGCACATGAAAAGAGCCAACCCCCAAAAACAGAAATACAAACTATGCTTCCAGCACTGTCCAACACATTGGGAATAACGTAGTTTCATTGTTAGTATCACTGTATTGTTGGAAAAGGGTACTAGAACGATCTTAGTTGAGGAACATTTCTTAACCTCTACCTAACTTCCTTTGTTCTGGCTCTATATTGGCCAAAGCAGTGTTTTGACTATGATTTGGCTCCCCCTATTACTACAGGGAGAGAATGTGTTGATTGGCAAATACATATCTTATGTGCTTAATATAAATCTCATTACAATTTTTATAATCATCATTAAAATATCTTAAATTGGTACTCTGTTTTATACATCTTTTTTTTCTTTTCTTCTTCTTTAGTGAGTAGTTAGTGTTAGAGGGAATTTTTTGATTTCCAAAGCTGCAGTCCAGACCAGGGATCAAAGTGTAAGCCCCAAGGTATAATATGATTTTTCTAGCCCTCCAGTTGCATGATATACCTATTTTTGTGAACACCAGTGGAGAACCAAACTTGTATATTGCCTTGCCTTTGTACATATTTCTCTTCTTTCCCCTTCCAGAGCAGCATTCATTACATTTCATAAGTGCTTTGCATAAAATTTCAAAGTTTAGTGTGACCTGATAATGTCAGGCACAGGTGCACTGAAGGACTTTTGGCAATCAGTGGCTTGGTAGCCATGATTCAGTTTGAATCACCCCTTCCAGGACCATAGGAAAGCAGTCTCCCAGCATCCCAGTCATATTCTTGGGAATCATTTTATTTTCCAACCTATTAAACTAATTTATAGGCCTTTGAGTTTCAACCATTTCCTCATTTCCTTCTTTTGTTAACCTTGGCTACTAGCCTTCCACCCACTTTAATCTCATTGTTGAGACCTGACTGTTCAGTAACACCAGAAAAAATACATCTGAAGCCGTAAGGATTGAGTAAAACTTAAGATTAAAAATGAAAAAGGAAGAAATGTGTGTTCTCTGAACTTTCCTCTGTTTATATGATCTGTTTAGGAGTTAAGGTTTTGTAGTCCAGCAGCCTCCCCCTATTTCAAAAATATAGTAACTAGATATCTGAAGAAGGTTATGTTGTCATGGGGAATGAAAAGACACTTCCTCTGTCCTCTGCCAGATAACCTGTCTTCTTTTGAGGTGTGGGAGGGACACCACAGGCCTCAGATGCTGAATCTTGAGGCTCTTGAAGAGCCATTTTTTTGTAGGGATACTTAGAAAGAAGCCAGTAAAATGAGTCTTTTTAAGGTTTCGGGTTATATACCTGGCTAGCTGAATGTTTGCTCATGGTATACAGTTCAACTGTATGCCATTAATTAAGTACACTTGTGTCAAGATTGTTCCAGAAGACATCTAGAATGTTAGATCCCCCTGCAAACACCCCCCATCTTGAAGGAATTGAAAAGGGTTAGCAAACATCCATGCACATGGAGGAAACTCTTCAATCTGTGGCTCTGATCCTCTGTGTGCCGCCCATGCTTTACCCACCCTAATGGGCAGTTGATAAACAGAAGCACTTTTTTTCACATTAAGGTATTTATGGAACTTAGTTGGCTAAATAAACTTAGAAATGAAAATGAGAATATAATAAATAAATTATCAGTTTTGAAGTAATTATCCTATTGACTAATTAGAATATGGTTATAAGTGTCATCTGTATTTTCTTCCTCATTTCCACATCAGTGGGATGAATCCTATCTCTGCATGAACTGCTGTGCTTTCCCTTTTTTAAAAAATTATATTTTATTGATTATGCTATTACAGTTGTCCTGATTTTTCCCCCTTTACCCTCTTCCACCCAGTGTCCCCACTCCCTCAGGCAGTCCCCCCACCATTGTTCATGGGCCATGTGTGAAAGTTCTTTAGCTACTCCATTTCCTGTATACTGTACTTTACATCCCCATGGCTGTTCTGTAACTATCTTTTTGTACTATTTAATCATCTTACCTCTTTACCCATTCTTCTCTTTCCCTCTCCCCCCCTTCTGTCTGGCAACTATCTGGTAACTACTTTTCTCTTGCTGTTTTTAAGAGTCTCTCTTTATCTTTAACCTTTGGCCTTCTAGTTATGATGTGTCTTGGAGTGGGCCTCTGTGCTTCCTCGATTTGCATGTCTTGTTTCCTTCACCAAATTAGGAAAGTTTTCTTTCACTGTTTTTTCAGATTTCCAGTTTCTTGTTCTTTCCCTTCTCCTCCTTGTACCTCTATGATGTGAATGTTGGATCCCTTGAAGTTGTCCCAGAGGCTGTTTATATGATCCTCATTTTTTTTGGATTCATTTTTCTTCTTCTTGAGCTGCATGGTGGTTTTTTTGCTTTCTCATGTTCCAAATCATTGATTTGATTCTCAGCTTCATCAACTCTATTGTTGTTTCCCTGTAAATTATTTGTTGTTTCAATTAGTGTTTCTGACCAGGTCTTTTTCTATGCTGCTGAGCTATTTTGAACTCCGCTTCTGATAGATTGCTTATCTCCATTTCGTTTAGCTCTTTTTCTGGAGTTTTGATCTGTTCTTTCATTTGGGCTGTGTTTCTTTGTCTCCTTGTTTTGGCAGCCTCCCTATATTTGTTTCTATGTATTAGGTAGAGTTTCTTTGACTCCATGTCTTGATGGTGCGGCCTAGTGTAATAGGTGTCCTATAGGGTCCAGTGGCACAACCTCCCCTGTCCCCGAAGCTTAGTACTCAAGGTGCACCCTTTGTGTGGTCTGAGTACACCCTCCTCTTGTAGTTGAGCCTTGGTTGCTGTTGGCAGATCAATGGTAGAGATTTACCCAGGTCAGCTGCAACGACTGGCCGTGACCTCTTACCACGAGCCTCCACCATCAGTAGAGGATCATCTGTGCAGGGGCAGGGTGGTGTTGCTCCAGTGGTGTCTGTAGCTGTCCACTGGGTACACTTGCCTGGGGTTTCCCTGGTGGTGCAGGCCAAGGTCAGCCCCCACCCTGTGTTTTGCCCCAGGCACCCTGCCTAAGCTAAAAAGCAATCTGAGATGGCTGCTACTTGTGCTGGGTTTGGAGATTCACAAACAAAGCCAAGCTGTGAATCTAATCTGGCTAATGCTAGGGCTCACTGAAGCCAACTGTTGCTTGTTTGATAGGATTTAGGAGCCACAACCAGCCATTCTTATGGAAAAGCAGCTTGCTTAGGCCAGAGCCTCTGGGTATCTCCAAAGCGGGTCAAACCGTGTTAGCCAGGTTTATGCAGTCTCAGATATGGCACCAGCTGGCCACCTCTGTGTGGGGAGGGTTCATTTAGCAAAGGGATAATGGCCTCTGCTCACCTTGATGCCAGACACTCCAGTTTCTCCCTGTATACAAGCTGCTACCTCAGTGCTGGAGCTCAAAGGGAGTAAATCTGAGTAGGTGAGTCCTTGTGTGGGTTCTTGAAGAGGAACTGTTTGGGGCTCCAGAAGTTTTTTCCACCAAATCTATCCCAGCTGGGTTTCACAGCCAGAAGTTGAGGAGACTTATCTTCCTGGCACTGGAATCCTGGGCCAGGAGCCTGGTGTGGGTATGGGTCTCCTCGCTCCCGAGAGATTCCTCCCTAATTTTTATCCATGTGGGTGTGGGACCAGCCCATTATGCATTTATATCCCTCCTACCAGTCTGGATGGATGTGGTTTCTTTAATTCCATTAGTTGTCAGACTTCCATTCAACTCAATTTCGCAGTTGTCAGGTTTCCATTCAGCTTGATTTCTGACATTCCTGCGTAGTGGTGGTTCTATATTTTAGGTGTAATTTTGATGTGATTGTGCAAAGAGGCGATCCATGTCTGCCTATGCCGCCATTTTGACTGGAAGCCCTGTGTGCTTTCCCTTTGATTGTGAGTTCACTTAGGTTCCCTTGGCAGCGGTACCTGCTATAACTGGAGGGAGCTCCTGAGTGATCTCCTAATTTGCTTCTCTGTTTTTCCAATTAATGGAGCACTTTATTTCGTGAGTGGTTTGTAGCTCCACTTATATGGCTAATGTTTGGGGTCACATTTGACTGTTTTGTTTAAATATCACTTTCATGATGAATGGAAGGCTGCTGCTTTTAGCAATATGGTGTAAAGCTCTGAATGGTGAGCATGAAGGGAAAAAATCTTTCTTGTAATGATATGCTAAATGAAATTACTCTCTTTGTCACTTTGTCCTTTTTTCCTTTCAGTCTGATAAGCTCAAATTCTAGTCATTTATTTGTTTTTCTTTAATTTAGCTTAGTTTCTTGTACCTAGGTGCATCTGTTTCTGCTATCAGTCATCGTAGTGATGTAAAGCATTTTTTTCTGACATGGAAGTGTGGTTTCTTTAACTAAACCATATATGTATGCTTTCTGTCCTCCACTTCCTTTGCATCATTTCCTTTTAGAGTGCTCAGTTTGTCACCATTTAATCTAAGGATAATACATCTGGGTCTGAGAAGTGGTAATGCTATAATAACAGTATTGTTCTTTATGTAATAATACTCAAAACATTTACCATCTTAGCCTTTATCTGTTGATGAAGCACTTTCAGTTTAATCCTTCACAATAATCCTGTGGGTAAATCAGCAATTTTTTCTCAGAAAATGAGATTGTATCTCAAAGACGTTGAATAACTTGCTCAGGGTTGCAATACTGCTTATCAATTTTTACAGGAAATGAAGAATACTTTTGAAGATATTCTAAATAAACAAAAAAGGAATTTTCCATACTGTGTCTTCTGTTGTAAATTTAAAAATCTCAATTATTTTTAGTCTGTCCAGTTGATTAAGATCAGGGTTGAAACCTCATTCTTTAACCATAGAGTTTAAATTGATGTGTCCAAGTCAAGAAAATAAATATTGAAGTCAGTTTCTATTTTGCTGCTGATGTGATAAAGTTAAGGAAGACTGGCTCTTAAATTAGTAAAATGGAACTAGAACTAATTAAGCCATTAATTATTTTTTATTCTCTCTTCCTTTTAGAGAGATGGAAACTTTGACTAGTTCCACCCTGCCTCCCCTTTTTGCAGATGAAGATGGCTCCAAGGAGAGTAGTGATCTGGCTACAACAGGGTAAGTAACCACTTTGGGACACTGGGCCTCTGCCTAGACTTCAAGAAAGAGCTTCTGACAAAGCATAGGTGTTAAAGAGGAAGTTTTAAATCATAAGAACAGAAGGTAGGTTGTTGTGTTTTACAAAGGGAGTAATAGCCGTTGTAAGCTGCTTTGTAATCTGCATTCAGCTGTCACTTGCTGTCCTCTGGCTCCCATGAACAGCAATACGTGAGGTCTAGCAGACATCAGAGACTCAAGTTTAAAAGAATTACATAATCTCCTTTTAGGAAATATCTACCACAGGATTAGTTTTGGAAATCAAATGTATTTTCTGTTTAAATTACCAAAGATGCTAAAACAATTTTTCCCCCAAAGGTTAGATTTTTTTTAAATACGGTTCTTTCTTCAATATGCTTAGGAGCTTTAGCTCACTTCTCTCTGCTCCTTTTTCTTCTCCTCTCTCCTTTCTTTGCTATTTTTGGACAGATAAAGAAAGTAAAGGCACATAGAAAAGGGCTATCAGCAGTAGTCCTTCTTCCCATGAAAATAATGTTGTACTTGAATTTTTATCTTTTCCATTTAGAAGTTATTTGCCAAACAAATGTATTTACTAACAGATTGAAGTGTTAGCTAATCCCTAAGATGAATTATTTTAATACTCTTTACAGCTCCTTAAAAATAGACTACACTTTTTAATTGTTTCCTTCCTTCATATTTGTTTCTTACCTCATTGATAGTCGCCCCTCACCTTGCTATTCCATCTTGTTCTCCAAGACTTTGCTGAAGTCTGCCTATTGCTAAATCAAGTTCATTCCATGCAGAGTTTTCTGAGTTTCTACTATGTGCCAGAAACTGTTCTAGGCACCATATATTAAGAAGTGATCAAAACAAGCATAAATCCCAGTCCCTATGGAGCTCAAATCCTACCAGGGAAGTCAGACAACAGGACAAATAAGTAAAATATATACATACTATGTTGATAAGTACTATAGATTAAAAAATAAAGTTGGGTTTGGGGTTCAGTTCCAGATAAGATGGGCCAGAAGGGCTTTAATTAGAAATTGACTTGAATAAAGACCTAAAGGAAGTAACATAGCTAGCCTGCAGTTATCTCAGGAAAAACTATTCTAGGCAGAGGGAGGAATGACTGCTAAAATCCTTAGGTAGGTGTGTTCCTGCCTTTTAGAAATAGACAAGAGGCCAATGTGGCTGGAGCAAAGTAAACAAGGGGGAAAGGAGTAATCGAGGTCCACATCAATGCTTCTCAAACTGTAATGTGCATATGAAATGCCTAGAGAGCTTATTAAAATGTAGGTTCTAAGTTAGAAAGTTCAGTTAGGACAGGAGATTGCACATTTAATAAGCTGCCAGGTAATGGCTGTGCCGCTGGTGTAAGGCTCTTTCTTGAGTAGCAAGGAAGTAGATCTTATAGGATCTTAGAGGTCAAAGTGAGCACTTTTAACTGCTACTCTTAGTAAGATGAGAAAGCTTTGGAGGATTTTGAGCAGAATGATGTGATCTGACTGACTTTATGGTAGGATCCCTGTGGCTATTATGAATAAAGTGAAGGAAACAGGGGCTGAAGGAAGGAGACCAGTTAAGCTCCTGAAATAATTTAGGTGAAAGCCGATGACTTAAAGAACATCACTAGTGACTTTGACAAGAGTATTTTTGGTGGAGTCACAGGGGCAAAAACCTGAGAGTGGGTTTCAAAGATAATGGGAATGGAGGGTAGTGAGAAGTGTAGAATTCTAGATATATTTTGAGGGTAAACCAAACAGGATTAGTCTGAAAGACAAGATAAGGTGTAAGAAGGGAGAAAAAAGCAGTCAAAGACAACTCCAAGGTTGTGGCCTAAGAGAGTGGATGGGGAAACTAAGACATAGGGGATGGAATTTTAGTAACTCAATTTTGGAGATTTTAAACTTGAGATTGCTTATTAGATATCCATGCAGAGATGTCAAATAGGCAACTTGATAGTCAGGTTCTGAAGATAGAGGAGGTCTAGACTAGAAAGAGAAACTTGGGTGTCATCTGTATACATATAGCTAGCTTCAAAAGCATGAGACTGTATGAGATCACTGAAGAAATGATCACTGTGTAGATAGAAAAGAAGAGCTCTAATGCCTGAGCTTTGGGATATGCCGACATTTAGAAGCCAGGCTGAAGAGGAAGAGTCAGCAAAGACTAAAGAGGGTAGTTAAAGGGCAGCAGAAAAACCAGAGGTGTGTGGGGCCCCAGAAACCAAGTAAAATGCAAGGGGAGGACATCAACTGGTTCAAACACTTCTGGAAGATCAGATAAGGTGAAGACTGAGAAATGACACTGAACTTAGTGTGGAGGTCATTGGTGACTTTGACAAGAGTTTGTAAACACTGTCTCCTTTGGGTTGGGTTTAAGAGAGAACAAAAGGAGAGAAATTGAAGACAATTAAGTATAAACAGTTCTTTCCAGCAAAAAACAAAGTCAGTAAGTATAAGTAGTTCCATAAAAGGAAAAGAGAAAAATGAAGTGGGATCAAGAGAGTGGAGGGTGTATGTGTTGTTTTAAAAGTAATAATGCCATATTTGTGTGCTGACTGGGCCAGTTCAGTGGAGAGGGAAGAATTGGTGGCACCAGAGAGGGCAGAATTGCTGAAGACATCATGTCTCCGAGTAGGTTAGCAGGTGTGGGATCTAGGGCATATAAGGAAGGGTTTTTGGTTTTAGCTAAGAGCATGGACAATTCATTCATAGGAACTAAAGAGCCCTTTTTTCTCTTATTTTTTCAATCTTTATCCAGCTTGTCATTTCCACGGCTTTTAATGCCTTTGACCGCTCCCTTCTGATTCCTGTCCATTTCAGTCAGAGATTCGTAGGGCTGGTACTCTTTCTCAAACATAGTATTCTATTTTACTGAAATAAGCATGTGCAGGACTTAGCTTAAAAATTGATGACACAGTTGAAATGAGAATGACAGTAAAAGAACAAGTAGCCTAAGACCTCCAAAATGATTGGACTATTGGAAAACAAAGCTGCTGAGATCAGACTGGATCTCAATAGGCTCCTCTTTATGGAAACCTGATTGGCATTGAGTTCCTAGATTCTCTTAGCCCTTTTCAAAGGACCTCAAAAATGTAGGAACCCACTGCTTACGATCATCTATTATGTTTTCTAGAAAGGGTCAGAAAAGTATAGCTTCTTTCATTTTCAGGACAGTGTGCATGTGCTTTCATTCATTTCTTAGTGTACTGTAATCTGGTTTTTATTTCTATAATGTCACTAAAATTGCGAGCAAACTTTAGGTCTTCAAATTTAACAGATACTTTTTAGCCTATCTTACTTGGCATCTGCAACTTTTTACTTGGTTAATAACCCCTTTTTAAGTCTTCCTGACTTGGCTTCTGTAACACTATTCTGCCCTAAGTCTCTTAATGCCCTCTCTTTTCTTTCCCAGCTCTTCTAACACTTGATCCTAAAATGATAGTGTTCCATCTGAGTTCTGTCCTGATAGTTCTTCTCACTATCTTTCTGGAAAATATCTAGTAATGCCCTTTGTTTCCATTGGCTAATGCCTCTCAAATCTGCCTCATTTCTTTTCTTCACTTCTGTCCTCTCAGGGCATGTTTGCAGATGTCTGTGAGACAGCTCCACTTAATTATGCCTGAAATGATTCAAACTTACCATTTTTCTCATTTGTCTGTCAGTCTTTCTTTCTTTCTTACAATGTGCGCATGCACACACACACTCTCTTTGGTTGTTACCTGGGATCATAGTATATAATAACACAATCTGGAAACTGAGAATTACATTTGGCTCCTTTTTTTACTTAAGTATATTCAGTCATTAAGTTCTCTCCATTCTATCTCTTAAGTATCTCTTAGCTTTCTCTCCCTTATTCTCTATCCTACCTGTCATTGTCTCCCAGTCTGATGTAGTAGCATCATAATAAGGTTCTCCTTCTTCTATTATATCATGTTCTTTCTGCTTGTAATGACATCATTTACCTGATGAATGCCTATTCATCTTTCAAGGCCACCTCTGTAAAATCTCTATTAACATCCTCTCCACACATATAAAATGTATCATACCCTCTTACCATGCCTTTACAGTGCATTTTACAAGCCTGTATTTCATTGCTTATGTGCCTATAACCCTATGAAGTATACACATTCATCCAGACTAATGACTGTTACTTTTATATATCTTCCTTCACCTCTCTCACTCCTTCCCCCAGAAAACCTCAAACTCATGCCGCATGGTATTGTCTTTTTTTTTCATTTCTTTATCCATATGGGATAGTGTATCTTCATGTGAGATCTGGTTTGCTGACTCATCTGGAATAAATGGTGGGAACAGAAAAGAATATATCTGTCTAATTCATTAACATTTATATGTCAACTTACTGAACTTGATAATACCATATTTAAATGATCTGGTGGTCAATAAAAATTGTAATTCTAGAAGGAATAGCCTATGGAATGTACCATAAGACATTTCTTATGCCTTCAAGAACGTCCTTGTATGGGGGAAAACTGATTTTACAATTCCCATTCCTATTCTCCTTTTCCATTAATATTATTTTCCCTTTACATTGGAGATACATGAAAGGTAGCATATAAAAGTCAGGCTTTGTTGCATGATCAAAACTAAATTGTGAAGTCCGTATGTTGAGGGGAGAGGTAATATTTTGCGGGGAAAAAATATAGCTGTTTTTAGCAGTGTTCATGGAACTGATATGGTTGAATCAAGCACTGAAACCATTATTTAAATGCTGTGTAACTGCTGTAGAGATACCGTTTACATTCACACAGAATGATGTGGGAGAATTAAATCGAGGATTGGCCTATTATGCTTTTGCTAGCAGGCAAATTTGTCTTGAACCTTGATAAATGGGAGTGTTTGATGCTGCTGTTACTGAACTGTTGCGCTTCTGCCTGTTATTTTTAGGCTGACCCACCCAGAGATTCCATATAGTAGTGGAGCCACATCATCCACCAACAATCCAGAATTTGTGGAGGGTATCTCTCAAGGTCAGTTGCTTCAGAATGAGCCTTCAAACACAGCAGAAGGCAATGAGCAGAGGCATGAAGATGAGGTAAGCTGAAGTATCTCCTTCTGTTACTGATCTCTGAACCTTGTAAAGAAGCAGGCAGCTGGTAGCCATCATCTGGCTTTCTTACATTCTGCAGAATTTTCTGTTTTATGTTAAATATTTATTTTACCTAGAATCATATTAATGGTTTTAATGACATAAAGATAGGTAGACTCTTTTTTCTCCTAAGAAATTAATACCTACATAATATTAGATATTCAACAAATGCTTATTGAATGAGCAAATGAGTTATTTCATTAAATAAGTATTTAATGAGAAGTCCACATGCCCATGTTCAAGCCCGCACACATCTCCCCAAGTCTTGCAGCTTGTAGTCATATATGCACAGAGGATTCACACCTCTTACCAATCATTCCACCTTCCATAAGGGGTATATCTAATTCACACAAAGGTTGTATATAGGCCTACGTAGTTGTGCCCTTATTGGACTATCAGTGTTACTCACTGATGATTGATTACATTGTCTCTCTTTTAAGATACTCTTTTTTAGCCATAAAAGAGTACCAGCATTAATTTTTATCTTGTTTCTTATCTGAAAAGAGCTGATTTTTTTCATGTTGGCATTCTTAAAGGTAATGATGAATACTTAAACTTTCTCAAACGTCTTATACATTAGCTTTAATGTCATTTTACAAAAAAACAACTGATATGAAATGCACCATTCTCCTGGTGGTGAGGTATTACACCACTTTTTTAAGTATATTTTATTAATTATGCTATTATAGTTGTCCCATTTGTTTTCTCCCCTTCATCCCCCTCTGCCCTGCGTCCCTCTCCCACCAGCATTCTCCCCCTCTTAGTTCATATCCATGGGTGGTACATATAAGTTCTTTGGCTTCTCCATTTCCTATACTATTCTTAACCTCCCCGTGTCTATCTTGTACGTACCAATTATGCTTCTGAGTCCCTGTACCTTTTCCCTCACTCTCCCCCCACCCCTCCCTACTGATAACCCTCCATGTGATTTCCATTTCTGTGATTTTGTTCCTTTTCTAATTGTTTGCTTACTTCATTTTTGTTTTTGTTTTTTAGGGTCAGTTGTTGATAGTTGTGAGTTTGTTGTCATTTTCCTGTTCATATTTTCAGTCTTCTCTTTCTTAAATAAGTCCCTTTAACATTTCATGTAATAAGGGCTTGGTGATGAGGAACTCCTTGAACTTGATCTTACGTGGGAAGCATTTTATTTGCCTTTCCATTCTAAATGATAGCTTTGCTGGATAGAGTAATCTTGGAGAGTAGGTCCTTTCCTTTCAGGACTTTAAATACTTCTTTCCAGCCCCTTCGTGCCTGCAAGGTTGATAAGACTATCAACGATAGTCTTTTGGGAACTCCTTTGTAGGTAATTGTCTCCTTTTCTCTTGCTGCTTTGAAGATTCTCTCTTTTTCTTTAATCTTGGGTAATTTAATTATGATTTGTCTCGGTGTGTTCCTCCTTGGGTCCAACTTCTTTGGAACTCTGCGATTCCTGGACTTCCGTGTCTATTTCCTTCGCCTGATTAGGGAAGTTTTCCATCATTATTTTTTCAAATAAGTTTTCAGTTTCTCACTCTTCTCTTTCTGGCACCCCTATGATTCAGATGTTGGAACATTTAAAGTTGTCCCAGAGGTTCCTAAGCCTCTCCTCACTTTTTTTGAATTACTGTTTCTTCATTCTGTTCCTGTTGATTGTTTATTTCTTCCTTCTCTTCCAAATCATTGATTTGAGTCCCTTCCCTTCACTGTTGGTTCCCTGTATATTTTTCTTTATTTCACTTTGCATAGCCTCCACTTCTTCCTCTATTTTATATCTGTACTCAATCATTTTTGTGAGCATCCTGATTACCAGTGTTTTGAACTCTGCATCTGATAGGTTGGCTATCTCCTTAATGCTTAGTTCTTTTTCTGGAGTTTTAGTTTGTTCTTTCACTTGGGCCATATTTCTTTGTTTCCATGCACCTATTACCCTGTAAGGGGCGGAACCATAGCTATTCTCTAGGGCAGGGTAACCCCCTTCACTGCGTTGTGGCATTCTCCATGGGGGAGGGGTCAGAAAGGGAACAGTGCCACTTGCTTGGCTCCCGCCCAATTCAAGTCACTTCCCTCGCTTCCTACGAGTGAACTGTGGCCTTTCAATTACTGATTCCCAGGCGGATGGGTTTGTGTACCTTCTAGGACCCTGTGGGTCTCTCCAGTGAACTCTCCTATGAGGTTGAGAGTTTCTCCCACAGTTGCAAGCCCCGCAGGTTTTTCCAGCCAGAAGTTTTGAGGCTTTATTTCCCAGTGCTGGAACCCTGTGTTGAATGGTCTGTTCCCCTGCCACGCTCCACGCCCAGTTATTCCTCCCAGCTGTCTATCTCCACCCCTTCTACCAGTCTGGATGAATGTAATGTTTCTTCTTAAATTCCTTGGTTGTTGGACTTCCATACAGTTCTATGGCAGTGTGGTTCTTTTTTGTTTTTAAATGTGTTGTCCTCCTTTTGGTTGTACAAGGAAGCAAAGTATATCTACCTACACCTCTGCCTTAACTGGAAGTTGATTTTTAATTTTTTGCACCATTTTTTATGTACTTGGAAGAGTATAGTACTGTAAATAATATTTAGACATTTTTGTTCTATTTTGTTTATGTTTCTCTTCTCTGAAATAAGAATTCTTGTATCCATAAAACATTATTAACTGATAAGCTATATGTATACATAAAATTATGAAACAAAAATATGAATGTCTCTTGCATTTCATTTAAAAGGACAAGTAAAAGGGCTGTGGTAAAACATATATATTTTTTTTCTTAAACTGATTGATTGTAGGGGTTGGGGGTACTTTGATGTGAGAAAGACACATTGATCAGTTGCCTCATATGCACCCTGACTGGGACTAAACCTGCAACCCAGCCATTTGTCCTGACCAGGAATGGAACTCACGACCCTTCGGTTTATGGGACGATGCTCCAGCCAACTGAGCCACACCAGCCAGTGCCATTGGTTGATTTTTGTATGTGCCCTGACCTGGGATCGAACCCTCAAACCTTGACCTATCGGGACTGTGCTCTAACTAACTGAGCTACCCAGCCATGGCCAAGGTGATTTAATCTTTTGATTTTAAGTAATAACATATAAAGGACTCTGACTTTATAAAATAAACATCTGAAGGAACAAACCATCAAGCCAAAACATTAGACTTCATTTGGATATATTGTATCGCTTCTCAGCCTTTTAAGAGCATGTGGGTATATTATATTTACTGAAATTTTTCTAAGACTTAGATATTAATTTTAAAATTTACATGCTATCTACTATGGGAAATAAACTGGTCTTTGGGTGGTATCCATGAGAAACACCCTCATGAATAATTTTTAATCCCTGTGCTACAACTTGTCTCTTTATTTGCCCAGTGCATTTTAAATGTTGTTCTGATCTACCGTGATGATGTCTGCTTTTCTGGCTCAGTGCTGTGTATATGCTGCATTTCTCATTTAGAACATTCCCCTTTTGGGAGTCAGGTCTTGTTAAGTGTACATGAAGACCAAGCTTGAGTGATCATGACACCCCTTATTCTAATCTCTTGGGATTAGCATTAGACTATGCCCTAGTGCAACAATTTGTAGTGTGGTACATAAAAGGGTCTACAAGTAAACCACCTGGAGTCCCCTCTTGAAAACTGCATTGCAATTACTTGTACCTATGACAGATATGGAGAGGTTTGAATACCCAGTGCCTGAATGGCAAGAAAATGCACCTCTTAACCTGTTTTGTCTGTCAGTGTTTATTATTGCTATGTTATCTGGGGATGATCTTGTTGTTATTGTAATTTGGTTTTAGTTTTTATTTTATCTTGTGTTGTAGCAAAGAAGTAAACGAGGGGGGTGGTCCAAAGGAAGAAAGAGGAAGAAACCTCTTCGAGACAGCAATGCACCCAAATCCCCTCTTACAGGATATGTTCGGTTCATGAATGAGCGTCGAGAACAGCTTCGAGCAAAGAGACCAGAAGTCCCATTTCCAGAAATCACAAGGATGTTAGGCAATGAGTGGAGTAAACTGCCTCCTGAGGAAAAACAGGTAATTTTTTTTCTATTCCTGATCCTTAGCTTGGTTTTCATTATATCTCAAAAATATTCTCTGTCAGAAAAAGCAAAGAGTGTGAACAGGTGTCTTAAGTTTTGTCATGTGCCTGGCAAGATCCTTCACAGCCCCCTTCTCCAGCACAGCGGTTTTCATATTCTTTCAGGGTTAGCTACAGGGTGCGAGAGCAGGTGGTGCTCTCAACTAAAGCAGCTGCATTGGTATTTGATTTATAAGATTTTTGTGGTCATTCAATATTAAGAAATTTATCAGCTTAATTTATTACATCAAGTTCAGTGAAAAGTCATGAGTTAAATGAGAAAAGGTCCTTTGATAAAATTCTGTTCACAGATTTTCGTTTAAAAGATATTACTGCTTTAATAAAATTTTTAGAGTTCTGTCGAATTTAACCTATTGTGGAAAATCAAGAATACTTTAATTTTTTCTTTTCCAAAACAGAAACTAATCCTGTTATCAAACCGAAACAAATCTTTTTGTTAAGAGAGATTTGAGAGGAAATTAAGAAAAAGTGGCTGAAATGTCACAAAAGCAGAATGATTGTTGTGGGAGTGGCTTTGGGTTAAAAGTTCCCAGCATTCTCAGCATTTGAAAAATACCTCTATTTCTTTTATGTCTTACATTCTTTTATACCAAATTTAAAAATACTTTTGGGGATTAACTGAATTCAAAAAATTTCAAAGATCAGATTAATTTGCAATTTGAAGCTCTGTGTTTGTGGTAGCAAGCAAATAGAAAGCAGAGCATATCACCCATTGTTTTAGCTCTAATGTATAAAGTATAATGGGATTATGAGCTGTACATACAGGGTTACTCTTTTGATTATTTTTATCTCAAAATTAATGCATGCTTATTGTTTAAAATGTTTTCATCTTAACAATAACCTACAACCTTCAGACCAACTTAAAATGTTTTCAGACAGTACAGAATGTATAAAGAAAAAAGCAAAAGTAACAGTAGTTATGTGCAGGGATAATCACTGTTAGGTAGGTAGGTTAAGGGTTTGCATGCTTGTTTTTGTGTTTTTTAACTTTTGAAAATAATTTCAAAAGTTACAAACATAGAGTAGCACAAAGAACACCCAAATACCTTTCATCTGTATTCACCTATTAACACATTTTATCTCATTACTCTATTTGCATATGTGCTCATACTCTACAGTACAAGCTCACGTTGTGGGCTCACTCGCATGCACTTTCTTGCATGCATACACACACACACACATTCTCTCTCTCTCTCTCTCTCTCTCTCTCTCTCTCTCTCTCTCTTTTTCCGAATCATTTGAGGGGAAGTTATATACACCATGGCCCTAAATATTTCAGGGTGTATTTTCTAAAAATAGATATATTTTCTTACATAGCCATAATATAAATATCAACTTTGTAATTTTATGTTAACACAATAGTTTTGTCTAACCTACATCCATATTCCAGTTTTATCACTTGATATAACATCATTCCTCTGTAAAAAACTTCCCCTCCAGTTCAGATTCCAGGCTAAGGTCAGGTTTTGTGTTTAGTAGCCAAATCTCTAGATTCCTTTAATCTAGAATATTTTCACAACCTTCTTTGTCTTTTATGACATTAATATTTTTAAAAAATATATTCCCACCCACTTTCTCTTCCTTCTTACTTTTAGCAGAACGTTTCTCGTTTTCTTTCTGTCTGATGTTTCCTCATGATAAAATTGAGCTTATGCATTCTTAGAATACTGCACAGGTAGTGTGCCCTTCTTAGGTCACAGTGAACATGAACATGGGTCATGTCCATTTTGCTCACTCAATAAAGGGATTTTTTTTTTTAATTCTCCCTTAAAATTATTAAGTAGTCTATGAAGAGAACATGGAAATATCAAAATCGCCCCCCCTCCACTTAGCATTTACTGATAATTTTTGCCTGTTCTAATCTTCACCATAATGGTAAAATGATCACCTTTCAACCTTACTATTCCCTTCACACCTACCAGTTGGCTCTCAGCATTCAAAGCAAGATCCCTCCTCCTGTCCCCATTTATATATTTATTTGGTTGTTATTTATTATTGGTATAGGCAAATTTTTCCCCAGTGGTTTAGTATTTATTATTGTATTTAAGTACTTTGGTTCTTAAATTGTCACAGATTTGGCCAGTTGAGTGTCCCCTGCATTTGGCTCTTGTGTGCATTAAGGTTTTTAACATAATTTCTGACTCTAGTTTATGTTCATTTAGAAGCAATATTTTTATACTGTATTTCTTAAACCTAATCAATGAATGAAAATAACTAGGCATTAAGCAAAATTATGCTGTTAGATCAATGAACTTTGTTTAAATGATGAATAGCACAAGGTATATAGTTGCAAGCTCTCTCATGTTAAATTCATTTTAAGGGCCATAAGACGAAGTCGTTTTTTTAGGTCATTTTTAAAAATATTTTTTGTGTCTACTGTCTTTAGTATCCCACTCTTCTGGCTCTTAAAAGGCTAATTGATATATGAAATGCCCGCAAAATGGGTTGGGGATTAGAGAAAAAAAGTAGTATTTCATCCTCTCTCCTGGGAGTATTAAATGTGTCTATATGGTATTCAGTTATCTTGAGGACTATCTAGTGGCCATATTGAGTTCTGTATATAGGGTTAGAAATAACTGTAACTATCTTCTTGTTAATTTTTTATGAGACTTATTCCCCATGTACTTTTCTTTTCATATTCTAATTGTCCTCTTTGTTCTTCAACTAGCTCATTGATATTTTATCTAAATAAAATCTGTTTATTGAAAATTATTCCACATTTCTTTCCTAGCGCTATCTTGATGAAGCAGACAGAGATAAGGAGCGTTACATGAAGGAACTGGAGCAGTATCAGAAGACTGAAGCCTACAAGGTCTTCAGTAGGAAAACTCAAGACCGTCAGAAAGGCAAATCTCAAAGGCAAGGTATCAGAACCAGAACCAAATGTATTTGTAGTTTGTTGTGTATGATGAGTATGACAAAGCCTACTATTAGAGTGATAAATATATCTTCCTATCATTTCTCTATTATACTATGTTCATGTATAAATTCCAGTTGGTTTCCATATCCAGTATCAACAATTTGGCTTGTGCTCCAAGACCCCTTTTAGTTGACTATGCTTTTTTCTGATTTCCAGTTTAGGCATTTCCCTGCCTCTAAACAAGTCTTTACTAAACCACATAACTGCCTTGCTTTAACACCTCTAAGCTTTCATGTGCCATTTCTCCCAGCCTCAAATAATCATCTGTTTCATTCATACATTCATGAGTTCACGCATTCAAATAGGTATTGAGCACCTCCTGTTACAAATCAGGCTCTCACCTAGCCTTTAAGAAAGCAATGAGCAAGATAGACAAGAACCTGGTCTTCATGGGTCTTTTAGTTAGTCATTAAAATTGTTCCTTCCACCCTTAAAAGAATTGCTTTAACTTCCCCTTCTTCAGGAAGCACTGCGAGACACCTCACCCACAAGTAGCCTGTCTTTCCTTCGTCATTGCATCTTCTCACACTTGGGCTTCTTGCTTGCTAAATTATAATGTGCCAACAGCCTTTGGCATGTGTTGCCTGTTCACCTTCCTACTGTTTTCTCACCAATAGTAAGAACTGTGTCTGCTCTTTCTCTTTGTGTAATTGTAACCCATAAATATAGGGTCCCCTTTAAGTTTTGTTGACTAACTGATTAATATAAAGCCATGGGAAAAAAATATCATGTGTTGTAATAGCCTGCATATGTAACAGCAGGTTTTGTTGTTTGGCACAGTTGTTAGCTTGGGTTTAGTTATTGTTCTTTTTTATTTATCAGCTTAATATTCTCTTGTTCTTCCATATTTCTAGATACAGCCAGACAGGCCACTCATGATCATGAGGTAATTAGCTTTCTTTCTACATGTCATACATATATTTATAAAATGTTGTTGATTTGAAATGCTTTTGTACATTTTTTTAATGAATGGCAGAGTATTTCCTATCCCATAATTCAGATTGGGTGAGTTGCTCAAGGATTCATAGAATATTACAGATATTTATGTCATGAATATGCCCTTGAACTACAGCCCCTAACTCCAGTCTTTTCTTGTGCTCCAAGAATTTTATTGGCTTTAAATGCTAAAGATGGTTGGTGTTTGGAGTGAGATGTAGAAGTGAGGAGCAGCTGAAAGCTAAAAGTGGACCATAGTTTATCATCATCAAAGACCTTACTCTGACTCCCAAAAACAAGTTATTATTTAGGGAATCCACCATTTGGTTAAAGTGAACTATTCAGCTGCAGTGTCAGCAAAACACAAGTGATTATAGGCTGGTTCCTGTGCCTCCTGTCCTCACTGGCAAATATTTGTTTACTTGACCTTTCCCATCCGTTTGGTTCAGCCTCATCAATAGGAATTAGGCCTACATTCCTGTGTGTAAATTATAGGATTTAGGCCTGTGTATGTTGGCTATGCTGCACAGAGAGCTTGAAATATGTATATGTAGGCTATGATTAATAGAGTCATGAGCCACTTAATGGGGATACATTCGGAGACAGGTGTCATTAGGTGATTTTGTCATTGTACCAACATTATAGAGTACCCTCTACAAACTTGGAGGGTACAGCCTACTGCACATCTAGGCTGTATGTATACCGCCATTGTATATGCAGTCCATCATTCACTATTTCAGTTCACTGTTATATTGCATATCATTATATATGGTTGTAAGAAAATAACATTTGTAATTTCATTTCTTAAAATGCTCAGTAACTCCTCATTGCTTACCAGATCACATTCAAACTCAGCAATTAAGGTCTTCTGTGATTAAGTCCCAACATATTCCAACTCCCTTAGCTCCCATATTTCGTGTGTGTGTGTGTGTGTGTGTGTGTGTGTGTGTGTATGTGTGTATTTATGAAACTTAAATGCGTGTATTTTCAACTCTCTGTTTTCCAAGTGCCCCAGATCTTCTCTGCCTCATACCTATGCTTATATTATTTTTTTTCTTGGAAACATTTTCTTTTCCTTGACCATTTTTTCTATGCCCACCCGCCATCATCACATTCTGCCTCTCAAAATTCTAGTTAATCATTAAGTTTCATTTCCTCCATCAAGTTTGTCCTGTTTCCTCTAGTTTCTTTTAACCCTCCCAGCTCTCTGTATTTCTCTTATACATGTACCTGAACTGACCTGGTGTTGAGGTTATTCAGATGCTTCTATTACTCAGGTTTTTGTATTGCAACTTCTTGGAAGGTTTGCAGAGTCTAGTTTCCATCTAGGACTAACCCCCTATCTCCTAGCATGATGGCCTTGCATGGAAGAGACCTTCCATAAGTACTTCATTATTTTTAAACAAAACCTACTTGTTGAAATAACAGTGGCAATTTATACAAAAAGAATTTTCTGATGTCTTCTTTTCCACGTATTTGGTTTTTTACTAAATCAAGAAAACCGTTTCATTAAAGTAACAACTTATTTATCTGGGGGTTGTAGTTTTCACACCTAATTTGGTATTGGTGACCTTCAGAACATTAGGAAAACATTTAGATTCACAACTCACATAGATTTCTTTTAAATACATTTAATCATGAATTTGAAAGTGAGAAGTATGTAAAAATTAACATTTTGTTCTTCATATAAATCTGATGTAAATGTAGTTATATATGACATCTCTGTGCTCTAACTAGGATGAAATAGTATGAATTTTTTGCTTGGAAAACAATGTATGTTTTGTTTTGTTTTTTTACTTATATTTTTTAAATACATTTGTCTCTGCCTATTATTTTTTATTTTTAAATTACAGTTAACATATAATATATTAGTTTCCAGTGTACAACCCCATGATTACACATTTATATAACTTACAAAGTGATCTCTCCAATAAATTTAGTAGTCACCTGACATCATATATAGTTAACAATGCTATTGACTGTATTCCCTTTACTGTACTTTACGTCCCTGTGACGGTTCTAAATCCCTTCACCTTTTTCACCCCATTCCCCCAACTCTTTTCCCATCTGGCAGCTGACAAAATGTCCTCTGTATCTGTGAGTATGTTTCTGTTCTGCTTCTTCATTTATTTTGTTTTTTATATCCCACATGCAAGCAAAATCATCTGGCATTTGTCTTTTTCTAATTACTTCACTCAGCATCATACTCTCTAGGTGCATACACATTGTTGCAGACGGCAAGATTTCATTTTTCTTTTTTTCAGCTGAATAATGGTCTATTGTGTATAAGCTATTTCTCTTTTTTATCCATTCATCTGTTGATGAACACCCAGGCTGCTTCTATATCTTGTCCATTGTAAATAGTGCTACAATAAAGATATGAATGTATATGTCTTTTCAATTTAGTGTTTTGAGTTTTTTCGGATAAATACCCAAAAGCGGAGTTACTGGGTTTTTGTCTCCTGCTATAAACTTTGGTTTAAAGTCTGTTTTGTCTGGTATAAGTATTGTTACCCCAGCTTTTTTGTTTATTTGTTTCCCTTTTTATGAAATATCTTTTTCTATACCTTTACTTTCAGTCTGTGTGTGTCTTTTGATCTGAAGTGAACCTCTTGTATACAGCATATGTAAGAGTCATGTTATCCATTCTATCACCGTCTTTTTAAAAAGATATATAGTCTTTATTATATTTTTTCCATTACCATTTAGTCGATTCATACCTCCTACCCCCATCAGTGACCACACTGTTGTCTGTGTCCATGAGTCCTTTTTCCCTTTTACTTGATCCCACCACCCCCAACCTCCCCTCACCCCAACTAGCTGTCTGTTCTCCATCTATGAACCTGTCTATTTTGCTTCTTAGCTCAGTTTGTTCATTAGATTCCACATGAGTAAAATCATATGGTATTTGTCCTTGTCTGACACCATATGTCTTATGATTGAAATATTTACTATAATTGCATTTAAAGTAATTTGATAAATATGTATTTAATACCATTTTATTATTTATAATTTTTATCTTTTTATTTCTTTTTCTTCTTAAAGAGATTCTTTTAGCATTCCTTGCAACGCTGGCTTGGTAATGATTAACTCCTTTAGCTTTTTCTTCTCTGAGAAGCTGTATCTGTCCTTTGATTCTAAATGATAGCTGTGCTGAGTAATCTTGCTTATGAAGGTCCTTGTGTTTCATCACTTTATTTATTTCTTGCCAATTCCTTCTGGCCTGCAGAGTTTCTTTTGAGAAATACCTGAAAGTCTTATGGGAGCTCCTTTGTAGGTAACTAACTACTTTTCTCTTGCTTCTTTTAAGATTCTTTCTTTGTCTTTAACCTTTTGCAGTTTAATTATGATGTGTCTTGGTCTGGGCCTCTTTGGGTTCATCTTGGTTGGGACACTGCAGTTTTTGGAACTACATGTCTATTTCCTTTGCCAGGCTTTGGAAGTTTTTCATCATTATTTTTTCAAATGGGTTTTTAATTTCTTTCTGTCTCCTCCTTCCAGCACCCCCATGATGCAAATGTTGGTAGCCATAACGTTGTTAGAGGGTCCTTACACTATCGTCATTTTTTAAGTTCTTTTTTTTTTTCTGTTCTGATTGAGTGTTTTCTGCTTCCTTATCTTCCAAATCACTGCTTAGCTACTCTATTGTTAATTCCCTGTTAATATATTCTTCATTTCAGTTAGTGTATTCTACACTTTATTTTAATATTTTATTTGTTTTAATTTATTTCTTTTTTTTTTTAATTTTTCAAATACGTTTATCTCCCTTTACCTGCTGCCACTTTCCCCTGCCCCACCCACCCCCACATCCCCCCTTCATCCTTCCCCACCCTGGCTTTGTCCTTGTGTCCTTCACACCTGTTCCTTCATCTGACCCTTCCCCTTCTCCTCCCTACTAATCCCCTCTCTCCCTCCCATCCCTGTCAGTTTCTTTTTTCTTTTAATGTCCCTGGTCATACTTTTCTTGCCTGCTTGCTTTGCTAACTAGGTTCCACTTACAGGTGAGATCATACAATGTTTGTCTTTTATCACCTGACTTATTTCACTTAGCATAATGCTCTCCAGTTCCATTCATGCTGTCGCAAAGGGGAATAGCTCTCTCTCTCTTTCTGCTGCATAGTATTCCATTGTGTAAATGTACCAAAATTTTTTGATCCACTCATTTATTGATGGGCACTTAGGTTGCTTCCAGCACTTGGCTATTGTAAATCGTGCTATGAACATTGGGATGCATCGGTTCTTTTGAATTGGTGTTTTGGGATTCTTAGGGTATAATCCCAGCAGTGGAATAGCTGGATCAAAAAACAGTTCCATTTTTAGCTTTTTGATGGAATCCCACACTTTTTTCAACGGTAGCCACACCAGTCTGCATTCCCACAACCTTGTCAGCACTTGTTGTTTGTTGATTTATCTATGATGACCATTCTGACCGATGTGAAGTAGTATCTTTGTGGTTTTGATTTTTATCTCTCTGATGGCTAGTGATGCTGAACATCCTTTTATATGTCTCTGGGCCCTGTGTATGTCCTCCTCCGAGAAGTGTCTGTTCAGGTCCTTTGCCCATTTTTTAAATTGGATTGTTTGTCTTCCTGGAGTGGAGTTGTGTGAGTTCTTTATATATTTTGGAGATCAAACCCTTGTCTGAGGGATCATTGGCAAGTATCTTTTCCCATACAGTTGGTTCCCTTTTCATTTTGCTGATGTTTTCTTTAGCAGTGCAGCACCTTCTTATTTGCATGAAGGTTCCCATTTGTTTATTCTTTCCCTTATGTCCCTTGCTCTAGAGGACATATCTGTGAAAATATTGCTGCGTAGAATATCTGAGAGTTTTCTGCCTATGTTCTCCTCTTGGACCTTTATGGTGTTGCGACTTATATTTCAGTCTTTTATCCATCTTGAGTCTTACCCATCTATGGGGTATATTTGTGGTCAAATTTCTTTTTTTTTTGC